CAGGAATAGAGGGCAAATCATCCACCTGGTTTTACCGCCCCCTGGCTGTTTGTGTGGAAGAGGCCTAATAGTCCCATACAAACCAGTATCTGGATGTTTTTTTGTAGATTAGAGAAAATAGCATTGTTGGTGAGGTTTTTAGTTGTCCAAACTCTAGGAGATGACAAACTGGACGATGTTCTGTTTTGGCTCTGCAAAAGTCAGATACCATAGAGATGAAACACTTGTGGGGGGATCTTTGGGTAGAGTGGGTACAGTGAAACCATGAAAAGGTGTATTCTAGAGTAAAAAAAATATTATACAGGATTATTATTTATATAGCACCAACAGTTTGCACAGCGATTTACAGAATCAAAGCAGACATTACGTTCTCTGTTCAAGAGTAGATTAGTTATCTAACTTTGGAAAAAGAAATGCAAAACTGAGTTGCAGTTGGCCTGAACTTAAAATGTGTAGATTTACTATCTTAATGTGGTTGTAAATGACATGAAATATGAACAAAGCATATCCCTCTATAGTGTGTATTTGTCTCAATGAAGAGCACTAAGTGTCATTTCTGTCTGCAGCTTTGTTCCCCTACTATCTGCAGGAATCACATCTGACATATTTTCCTGACACCAAGAGAAAAATGGTGACAGGGAGGGACCTCCAGCAGATTGACCGCCCCAGCTCTGGTTCTGTGAGCTGTGTGGAGAGGGTGTGTCTCTTCCCTCCAATCAGCTCTCAGAATTCTCACTGAGCCCTGCAGAGTGTAACTTCTGATCTCCGCCCCTTGCTTTTCAGAGCTGAGAAATTCTGTGTAAATTCAGCAATTTGAAAGGCTGTAGAGAAGAGAGGGCTAAGATAAACAGGTAGAACGGTCTGGATAAAAGCGCACAGATGTGTCCCAAAGGAAATAAGTGAATGGTATATGTCAACTATGATTGGTGGGGAAAAAACTCACTGCTGCCATGGTAAAAACACATCGGTTTGTGGGAGGTATGAACAGGAGCCAGGTGCTGTGTAGTTTTGTGATAGAAATAATACACCTTGTATGGAGGTGTGCCTTTAATAAGTCATATGGTAAAACAATAATAAATAACCAGCCTGTGGCTTTAGGAAGCCAGGTTCCAAGATGGACGGCCCGTCCGCTCAGAGGGAAGCAGTGGAGTAGAATGCCTGTCAGTGCAGGGACCACGTTTACCCGACGTCCCAGCGTCCTGGATGACGTCACCACGATGTGGAGAGACGGAGGGGGGGAACTCTTGCTGGAGCCGCAGCTTTAGAAGGAAGAGGCCGGTTGCTGGGACAACATGTTTCGCGCGCATGCGCTTTGTCAAGTCTCCAGAGACTTGACAAAGCGCATGCGCGCGAAACATGTTGTCCCAGCAACCGGCCTCTTCCTTCTAAAGCTGCGGCTCCAGCAAGAGTTCCCCCCCTCCGTCTCTCCACATCGTGGTGACGTCATCCAGGACGCTGGGACGTCGGGTAAACGTGGTCCCTGCACTGACAGGCATTCTACTCCACTGCTTCCCTCTGAGCGGACGGGCCGTCCATCTTGGAACCTGGCTTCCTAAAGCCACAGGCTGGTTATTTATTATTGTTTTACCATATGACTTATTAAAGGCACACCTCCATACAAGGTGTATTATTTCTATCACAAAACTACACAGCGCCTGGCTCCTGTTCATAAGATAAACAGGTACAACTTATATAGGAGGTTTTGTTTCATCTCTGTGTGTCATGAGGACAGTCACTTCACTGGGTATATGGAAGGGTTTACAACCACTTTAGGTATACCTGTATAAGCATTTGATAGTAAAATATTTACATTTTTCTAGGAACGGTTCCAGTTTCCTTCCCACATAAATGACGTGTCCGAGTCGGCAAAAGACCTGATCCAGCGGCTGATCTGCAGCCGAGAGCGCAGGCTGGGACAGAACGGCATTGACGATTTTAAGACTCACTCATTCTTTGAGGGACTCGACTGGGAGAATATCAGAAACATGGAAGCACCTTATATCCCGGATGTCAGCAGCCCTTCCGACACATCCAACTTTGATGTGGATGACGACATCCTAAGGAATCCTGTACGCTATATTCACACCAACACTTCATATCAAAGGACAGTATTCCTAGGATGGTACTGAAGTTTGTTGTATTCTTTAATATCCACAGGAAGTGGTTCCCCCGAGTACGCACAGTGGGTTTTCCGGATTCCAACTACCTTTTGTGGGTTTTACATACACAACAGAGAGGTAAGATTTGTATACCCTGATAGTCTCTGTCCTAAGATTTAACCCAAAGTTTTCTTCACACTGAACTCCGACCTTCCCTTCAGTCTTGCACAGTTGTACCGGCTCCTCTCCTGGGCTGAAATTGCTTACTCTGATTTCACTGCACACTGTTAGCTTCTCATGATGTGCACCAGAAGCTGCAGCATGTTAGCACGCACCTCATTTCTTGGGTGTGGCAGGGGGCGGGGCCTCACCTCGCTCTGTGAATGGACACGCGGAGCAGTGATTCGGGAGCGAGCCTGCTTATGTGCTTCCCCCATAGCTGCTTACTATGGGTGCAGTCTGAGGGAGGGAGGGGCCAGGAGCGCTGGTGGGGGACCATAGAAGAGGAGGATCAGGGTTGCTCTGTGCAAAACCACTGCATACAGCAGGTAATTACGACAAGTTTATTATTTTAATTGTTTTAATATCACTTTCAAAACTTCTCGCAAAATGCATTGGGGCGCAAGGAAAAATGTCACCAGCACACCAATGATCACCAAAATGGGTCCAAAGGGTTTAATGAACGATCACATAGTTACAGCAAGGCAACGTTTTGAAGTCTCGCAGGACCCCTTCATCAGGCATGTGATGCGTTGGGACGCGTCACGTGCTGTACATCTACCTCACCATTAGGAGATTTCCTTCATTCCACCATTCAACATCTGTAGAGAGAATCTAGCCACTTTTTTTTTTCTTTCTCATTTTGTAGTGTGTGCATATGTGTGTGTGTGTGTGTGTGTGTGTGTATATATATATATATATATATATATATTACTATTTTTTACCTTTTCAGACCTTTACCCTTTCATTTCTCTTTTTGTTTTTCTTCCCCTTTTTCTTTCACTTCTTTACCCTTTTAGCTTTCTCTACATTTTCTTGTGTATCTTTTTCTTTCCTTCTGCCCTTTTCTTCTTTCCTTCCCCTTTGCTCTTTTTTTAGTTTCTTTTTTTCTGCCCTGCTCTTTTCTTTCTTCCTTATACATACCTTCAAATTCATTTCTCCTTATCTTTTTTTTTTTTTTTCTCCTTCTTCTTTCCCTTTTCAATTTCTTTCTGTATCCAACTTTTGTCCTTCCTGAAATTCTGCCATTTCTTTGCCAATTTGTCTTTGCGTGTTCCTTTTTCAGTCCATGTCCATTAACGCTGAACTCCCGGTAAATCTACTGTATATGTGTAATAGCCATTTAGCAGTTTACATTAAACATGGTCAATTAACGTTGCCACCTTTGACAAAATATTAGGCCATTACTGTGGTTGGAAGCGGCCCCTTTGCCCCTTGTTTCCTTCCCATTTGACCTGCTGTCTCTGGTCTCTCTTGTTCAGGATGACCAGTCATGAAACCATTCCTCTATAATCTTCACTTTTATAGAGCTGACATAATTACATGGATCGACCCTTTTTTGGATCGCTCTTTCTCTGCCCTGCTCGTGAAAGAGGCTTGTGGCTAGGCGGCAGTGACGGAAAAGAACACCGCTGTCACCGGCCGAAAACATCACTGCAATCCCAGAGTCTGATGGGATATGGACTGATCAGGAATATTTTAAGCACCTGCGCTCTGTAAGGTTTTAGTCCCTGCATGACCAGGCCATTTTTTGCCATTTAGCACTGTGCTACTTTATTTTATTTATCTCAGGTACTTATATAGCGCCGTCAATTTACTCAGCGTTTTTATATATATATATATATATATATATATATATATATATTCACATCAGTCCCTAACCCTCAAAGGGCGCACAATCTAAGGTCCCTAATTCACATTCCTACATACATATATTAGGGCCAATTTAGACAGGATCCAATTAACCTACCTGCATGTCTTTGGAGTGTGGGAGGAAACCGGAGTACCCACGCAGGCACAGGGAGAACATGCAAACTCCAGGCAGGTGGTGCCGTGGTTGGGATTCGAACCAATGACCCTAGTACTTCCAGGTGGAAGTGCTAACCACTAAGCCACTGTGCCGCCCCATTTGGCTACTTTAATTGGCAAATGCGCGATCATGCAATACTGCACGCAATATAGATTTTTTATAATTTTTGCGTTTTTTTTTTTTGCTTTGTAAAGGAAGAAAAGAGACATTTATGAATATATTTTCTACTTTCTATTTTAAAACATATCCAATAAAATAAAATTTCTTCGTAAATGTAGGCCAGATTTTTTAGGCAGCTAAGTTTTCAACTGTCAATGGTGTTACACAGCGCCCCCCTTAGCCTGAGCAGGCAAAATGACGCGCATGTATGTGATCGTGTCTGCACGTGCCACCCCACCACAGTATATGTACTGGGGTAGGCCGGCAAGTGGTTAAAGTGTTACTAAACCCACAACAGTAAAATCAGTCTGTATATGCACTAAAGCATGCTTGATATACTCACTATGGAACCTAAGGGGTTATTCTTCTGCATTGTGTAAAAAGGCTGATTGATCCTGACTTCTCTGATCCTCCCCTTCTTCCAGTGTCTCCCTCTTATCTCCTGATAAGACATATCGTGTGGAGACACATGCTCAGTTTGGTGTGTATTGCTAGAGAGGTTTTTTTTCTTTCTTGGGAGAGTGCATGTGATCAGCACAGGGCCAATCGGCACTCTACAAACAGATCAGGGGTCCTGCATCTTAGAGCAGAAAGAAAACTCCTCCTTTAACCAATGCTCTGCTAAACACTGATAGAAGTCACAAGACTGCTCTAAAGGTATTTAGCAGTTTATGTTTACTAAAATAATTGGATTTCCATGTTCTGTGTACTGTGGGAGACCAGATATAGTGATTGCAGGTTCCGGGGAGACCGGATATAGTGAGTGCAGGGTCCGGGGAGACCGGATATAGTGAATGCAGGGTCCGGGGAGACCGGATACAGTGAATGCGGGGTCCTGGGAGACCGGATATAGTGAATGCGGGGTCCGGGGAGACCGGATACAGTGAATGCGGGGTTCGGGGAGACCGGATACAGTGAATGCAGGGTCCGGGGAGACCGGATATAGTGAATGCGGGTTCCGGGGAGACCGGACATAGTGAATGCGGGGTCCGGGGAGACCGGACATAGTGAATGCGGGGTCCGGGGAGACCGGACATAGTGAATGCGGGGTCCGGGGAGACCGGACATAGTGAATGCGGGGTCCGGGGAGACCGGACATAGTGAATGCGGGGTCCGGGGAGACCGGACATAGTGAATGCGGGGTCCGGGGAGACCGGACATAGTGAATGCGGGGTCCGGGGAGACCGGACATAGTGATTGCGGGGTCCGGGGAGACCGGACATAGTGAATGCGGGGTCCGGGGAGACCGGACATAGTGAATGCGGGGTCCGGGGAGACCGGACATAGTGAATGCGGGGTCCGGGGAGACCGGACATAGTGAATGCGGGGTTCGGGGAGACCGGACATAGTGAATGCGGGGTTCGGGGAGACCGGACACAGTGAATGCGGGGTCCGGGGAGACCGGACACAGTGAATGCGGTGTTCGGGGAGACCGGACATAGTGAATGCGGGGTCCGGGGAGACCGGACATAGTGAATGCGGGGTTCGGGGAGACCGGACATAGTGAATGCAGGGTCCTGGGTTTAGTAACACTTTAAAGAAGAGCCCAGAGTTCAGATTTCTGTTTCCTATCATCTTTCCTTTCCCTACATTCTCTGTCCTTATTTTCCCATTTTCTTCCCTGCCACTATTTGTTTATTCATATCCCTTTCTATTTCAGTCAAATTCCTGCCCCCCCCCCCCCCCTTTTTATTTTTATTTTATGTTTTGATATTGCCTTGTTTTGCAAAAGTAAATGGCTTCAGTGGGATTTATTAAAATTGTCAAGTTAGAGTTGTGAGGTACAGCTTTGCAACACAATAAAATGTAGCTTGGTATGTGATCACCAATTGATTTTCAGTATTTTAATATTCGATGAAGGATCGGCAGGATTAGCACCTGACCAGTATATTTGAAGGAAGCAAACAATCTTCTGTTCCATAGTTGTTTTTCAGACCGAGGATCACTGAAGGACATTATCCACACAAATGCTGTGACCAAGGATGAGGATGTGCAGCGTGGTCTGGAGAACAGTCTGCAGGTCGATGCCTATGAGCGCAGGATACGACGGTTGGAGCAGGAGAAGCTGGAACTCAATAGGAAGCTGCAAGGTTGGCACTGAGTTTAGATGTATTATAAACATTTTGTTTCAGTTCTTTGATCACTGCTTAGGCCTCATTACCATGGATGTTTCTATGCGTACACCCATGCGAAGGGCTGTCTTTCCATGCATGGGTTTACTCACATGTTCCATGCATCCGTGTTTAGGCAGTCCTATTCATGTCCATTGGGGCACAGCATCTACACAGATACAACCACCTGTCCCAGTTTACCAGCCGTGCAGGTGTGAGTGCCTAAGTTCGAACACCCGTAGCCATGCGGCTTTCAAATTGGGACCAACAGTTGTGTCTGTGCAGCCGCTGCATGCCAATACGCTTAAATAGGATAGCCTGCACAAACAGTGGGGATCGAAAGTTTGGGCACCCCAGCTAAAAATTTGTATTAATGTGCATAAAGAAGCCAAGGAATGATGGAAAAATCTCCAAAAGGCATCAAATTACAGATTAGACATTCTTATAATATGTCAACAAAAGTTAGATTTTATTTCCATCATTTACACTTTCAAAATAACAGGAAACAAAAAAATGGCGTCTGCAAAAGTTTGGGCACCCTGCAGAGTTAATATCTTGTACTGCCCTCTTTGGCAAGTAATGTAATTCCCTGTGGATTTGGAGGTGTGTTTAGGATCATTATCCATTTGTAGAAGCCATCCTCTCTTTAACTTCAGCTTTTTCACAGATGGCATCAAGTTACCATCCAAAATTTGCTGAAATTTTATTGAATCCATTTTTCCTTCTACTCGTGAGATGTTCCCTGTGCCACTGGCTGCAACACAACCCCAAAGCATGATTGATCCAACCCCATGCTTAACAGTTGGACAGAGGTTCTTTTCATTAAATTCTGTGCCCCTTCTTCTCCAAACGTACCTTTGCTCATTCCGGCCAAAAAGTTCAATTTTAACCTCATCGGTCCACAGAACTTGTTTCCAAAATGCATCAGGCTTGTCTATATGTTCATTTGCAAAGTTCAAACGATGATTTTTGTGGTGAGGACGTAGAAGAGGTTTTCCTCTGATGACTCTTCCATGAAGACCATATTTGTACAAGTATCTCTTTATAGTGGAATAGTGTACCACAACTCCAGTGTCTGCCAGATCTTTCTGGAGGGATCGTGCAGTCAAACGTGGGTTTTGAATTGCTTTTCTCACAATCCTGCGAGCTGTTTTGTCTGATATTTTTCTTGGTCTTCCAGATCTTGCTTTAACTTCCACTGTTCCTGATGACTGCAATTTCTTAATTACATTCCGAACAGAGGATATTGACATCTGAAAACGCTTTGCTATCTTCTTAAAGCCTTCTCCAGCTTTGTGAGCGTCAACTATTTTCAGTTTCAGTTTTCTAGACAACTGCTTAGAAGAACCCATGGTGCTGATTGTTGGGGCAAGGTCAGATGAGTCTGGGCATTTAAAACTTTTGAGATTGACATCACCTGGTCTTCCCCGACGATGATTGAGAACAATCCATGACACTGGCAGGTCTCAGCTTGGCAAAGGGGGCAGTGCATTCTATAAATTCTGCAGGGTGGCCAAACTTTTGCAGACGCCATTTTTTTGTTTTCTGTTATTTTGAAAGTGTAAATGATGGAAATAAAATCTAACTTTTGTTGACATATTATAAGAATGTCTAATCTGTAATTTGATGCCTTTTGGAGATTTTTCCATCTTTCCTTGGCTTCTTTATGCACATTAATACAAATTTTTAGCTGGGGTGCCCAAACTTTCGATCCACACTGTAGTTGCTCAAAACACCTGCGCAGTCCCATGCAGGCGAAGATGACCCTTCGCACAGGTGTACACGTATATACGTCCGTGTGAATGATGCCTTGCATATTTAAAAAAACAAGATATTTCTTAATTCACATTCTATGATGGTGAATTTATTGTCAGTGCAGACAAATTCTAACCTAATGAAATGTCTTGTTCAAACATGTCAATTCTGATCTCCCCAGAGTCCACTCAAACAGTCCAGTCTCTCCAGGGCTCCTCTCGAGCAATGGGAACCATAAACCGTGACAAAGAAATCCGAAAGCTAAATGAAGAAATAGAGCGCTTAAAGAATAAAATTTCAGGTATGCCCTCCAAATTGGAGAAGCTTCCTCGATCTTTGACTTCCATCCTGCAGCTTGTCTTTTTCCTTACATTCTCATGGAAAGTAGTGGGCATCATTCTGAAGTGCACCTTCTATTCGTGCACAGACACCCAGCCGTGTGCCCAACTGTCCCTTTGTATTCACATAGGCTGGTATGGAATGACTTTGTGCTGCTATAGTTTTTGGTGTAGGGAATGCACACATTGTACTCTATCAATCCCCAAGAGTCACACATTTTCACTTGATCCATTTTAAAAGCATGAATGTTGATTGAAATGTGACTACATTATTAGATTAGGCCTGGATTCTTTCTTGGATACACAGAATATAACTGGATATAACATTTATAGGTAAAGTTGATCCAGGGAATTTCCGATTGCCTCTCGGGGGATCAGGAAGGAGTTTTTTTTTTCCCTGCAGGAGCAAATTGGATCATGCTTTGCTGGTTTTTTTTTTTTTTTGCCTTCCTCAGCATAAACTGTGGGTGTAGGATTATAACTTTTTTTGTTTTATGGTTGAACTGGATGGACTTTTGTCTTTTTTCAGCCAGACTAACTATGTAAGATAGACTCTATAGTGCTATTCTCAATATCAATAAAAAAAATCCAAAATTAGGTGGCATTGTTATGTAGTCTGCTATTCACCCAGCAGGGGGAGCTTTAGTCTACTTTTCATGTTTTATAATGTCACTCTCAGCTGTGCTGAAAGAATCCTGTTTGATCAAGGAGGCATTACAGCAGTGACTCGTCCCTTTTCAGACTGCTCAGTACCAGGTTTTATACCAGGCACACCAGCCTGGTGTTTTTTTCTGGGGGGGGGGGGGGGGTTAAATCCCCCCCTCTTGTTTCATTGTGGCGCTTAGTGTTTAAAGTGTATCTAAACCCAGGAACAAATATTGATAGTTTTGCAGATTACTAGACTAATTTTTTCCTTTATTTTAACCTATAATCCTGACATCACACTGCCTGTTCTAGGGTGAAAACTGTACTGAGCAGTGTTGTCAGGGCTGCTGTTAGAAACCATGGGGCCCCCATACAGCCAACCTGAAAGGGCCCCTAAAAAAAAAACCCCACAGTTTACTATGCTTCAATTATGAATGAACACGAGTGATCGGTACCAATCACCAGGGCTGCTGTTAGAATCTATGGGGCCTCACACAGCCAACCTGACAGGGCCCCCTAAAAAAAAATCACAGTTTATAATGCTTTATGAATAAACACAGTGAGTGATTGGTACCGATCACTCATTGTGTTCCTTCAGGAAAGGAAGGGGCTGGTAAATGTGATCTATTTACTGGACCCTTCCCAAAGTCTCTATCCTGATGGATCCTATTGTGTGCTTGCAGCTGCCGGTGAGGAGAGGAGGGAAGCCGGCAGCACTGCGAGGGTGGGGGCACGAGCAGCAGAGGGAAAGGTATGGTGCACATGGAGGGTGATGAGAGCATTGGGAGGGGGGGGGGATTATGGGAACTGATCCCCTGTATGGCTTACTCTGCAGCAGCTGAAAGCCAGCAGGAAGGAGAGGAGAAGAAGCCAGCTGTCAGCTACTGCAGAGAGAGCCATACAGGGGATCGGTTCCAGTAATTGCCCCCCACGTTGTGCCGATCCCCCCCCTCCCTGCCCATAACTGATTCACCCAGCTGCCTGGGCCCCGTACAGGAGGACTGGTGGTACCCCCCCTTATCCATGGCCCGGAGTGTTTTCACTCAGTGACAGGGAGTGTTAGGACTACATAACACTTCCCTCTATCCTCCATGATTTAGTATGTGGGTTTTTTTAGTCCACTGAGATAGCAGGGAACAATGCTAGCTGGTAACAGTCCACAGAGGAAAGGGGCACATGAGGTTATCAGCTTCCAAGAGTTCTGCCTGGATGAACAGCTTTTTTTTTTTTTTTTTTTTTTCCATTTGTCGAACAGACATGATAAAATGCTTCCCCTGGTATGCCTAATAAACCCAAAAGGGAGCAAATACAAATTTAAAGTTTAAGTATTTAAATTTAACAACACCTTGCCTGGTCTGCAGCTGGCAATGTACATTTCCAAATGTACATATTCAGCTTACATACAGCTTTGCATACATTTCTGAGGAATAAAATGTAAGTTGCAATTGTCACTACGATGTTGAGCTTTCAAATTATGTGATTTAAATAGGTGTGGCCCTTGGTAGAAATGTTACTGCTTCTTGAAGAGTTAATTCGATCAGTTCAACCAGTTGTTTCATTTGAATCTGAAACCCTTGCGGCCTAAAAGCAGTCTTTGCCTGCGGTTTTGTCTCTTTAATACAGAGTGCTCTGGGAATCCTTTGTTAAATATTAAATTATTTGGGCAATAAGGGTTGTTTGCATAAATAATGTAAATGGCAACTAAAAAAAATAGTAAAAATGTTTGTTTCTCTTAAGATTCCAGTCGAATAGAGCGTCAGCTGGAGGATGCAGTTGCACTACGACAGCAGTTAGAGGATTCAACCAACAAACTGAAAGGCCTTGAAAAGCAGCAGAGAACATTGAGGCAAGAGAGGGACGATCTGCAGAAGGTATGTCATTTGGGAACATCGCACCCAGGATTTATTGATTTAGAAGAGAAGAATAGTCATATCATTGGTTGTGAGTCTGAATATATTTTTATTTACTCACATCGGAAAGAAACAATCCAAAATGTTTGGGACATTCTGTGGAAACCTGGGATTCACTTGAAGAGGAGCTTTCTGTGTCCTGTGTAAACTACGTATTGCTGGTGTCACTGGATTCACACTAGAAATATAGCAAGAGAACCAGCCCTGGATTTCATAATAGAATCAGAGTTCTGATCATTTTGCCAGTTTAGAAGTTGAGCTGTTAGCAATGAAGATCGTTTAGGGGATGATAATCTAAAATTAAATAAAATTAAGCTTTAATCAAATAATTAACCACTTCACCTCCAAAAAATGTTACCACCCTTCATGGCCAGGCCATTTTTTTTTGCTATTCAGCACTGCAGTACTTTAACTGGCAATTGCACAGTGATGCAACTCTGTATACCATATTTTTCGCTCCATAAGGCACACTTTTTTCCCCCCAAAAAATGAAAAATGTCTTTGCGTCATATGGAGCGGCCGGACAAGTATTCCCACCGCCGCCATGTTAGAATACTGAGCCAGCCCCTCGGCTCTTCTATGCAGAAGAACCTGCTCCTTGGTCCAGCGGTGTCCTGCTTTCGTTGGCCGTCTTCTCTCCCCGCCACCGGAATCTTCAGTGTGGGCACCCGGCTGTGACAGCTTGCGGCTTCACAGCCGGGTGCCCACTGCACATGCGTGAGAAGCTCTGCGCTTTGTGAATGGCTACCTGTAGTTTTCTGGGACCTGTTCCATAAGACTACAGGGAGGACAACTCCACGGAAGTTGGAGCGGGTACCTGTACCATGTCCGCAGTCTTTGGTCATCTACTGTACCATGTCCGCAGTCTTTGGTCATCTACTGTACTGTGTCCGCAGTCTTTGGTCATCTACTGTACCATGGCCGCAGTCTCTGGTCATCTCCTGTAGTATGTCCTCAGTCTCTGGTCATCTCCTGTACTGTGTCTGCAGTCTCTGGTCATCTCCTGTACTGTGTCTGCAGTCTCTGGTCATCTCCTGTACTGTGTCTGCAGTCTCTGGTCATCCCTTGTACTGTGTCTGCAGTCTCTGGTCATCCCTTGTACTGTGTCCGCAGTCTCTGGTCATCTCCTGTACTGTGTCCGTAGTCTCTGGTCATCCCCTGTACTGTGTCCGCAGTCTCTGGTCATCTCCTGTAGTATGTCTGCAGTCTCTGATCATCTCCTGTAGTATGTCTGCAGTCTCTGGTCATCTCCTGTAGTATGTCTGCAGTCTCTGGTCATCTCCTGTAGTATGTCTGCAGTCTCTGGTCATCTCCTGTAGTATGTCTGCAGTCTCTGGTCATCTCCTGTAGTATGTCTGCAGTCTCTGGTCATCTCCTGTAGTATGTCTGCAGTCCCTGGTCATCTCCTGTAGTATGTCTGCAGTCCCTGGTCATCTCCTGTAGTATGTCTGCAGTCTGTGGTCATCTCCTGTAGTATGTCTGCAGTCTCTGGTCATCTCCTGTAGTATATCTGCAGTCTCTGGTCATCTCCTGTAGTATATCTGCAGTCTCTGGTCATCTCCTGTAGTATGTCCGCAGTCTCTGGTCATCTCCTGTAGTATGTCCGCAGTCTCTGGTCATCTCCTGTAGTATGTCCGCAGTCTCTGGTCATCTCCTGTACTATGTCCGCAGTCTCTGGTCATCTCCTGTACTATGTCCGCAGTCTCTGGTCATCTCCTGTAGCGTGTCCGCAGTCTCTGGTCATCTCCTGTAGCGTGTCCGCAGTCTCTGGTCATCTCCTGTAGCGTGTCCGCAGTCTCTGGTCATCTCCTGTAGCGTGTCCGCAGTCTCTGGTCATCTCCTGTAGCGTGTCCGCAGTCTCTGGTCATCTCCTTAAGCGTGTCCGCAGTCTCTGGTCATCTCCTCAAGCGTGTCCGCAGTCTCTGGTCATCTCCTGTAGCGTGTCCGCAGTCTCTGGTCATCTCCTGTAGCGTGTCTGCAGTCTCTGGTCATCTCCTGTAGCGTGTCTGCAGTCTCTGGTCATCTCCTGTAGCGTGTCTGCAGTCTCTGGTCATCTCCTGTAGCGTGTCTGCAGTCTCTGGTCATCTCCTGTAGCGTGTCTGCAGTCTCTGGTCATCTCCTGTAGCGTGTCTGCAGTCTCTGGTCATCTCCTGTAGCGTGTCCGCAGTCTCTGGTCATCTCCTGTAGCGTGTCCGCAGTCTCTGGTCATCTCCTGTAGCGTGTCCGCAGTCTCTGGCCATCTCCTGTACTGTGTCTGCAGTCTCTGGTCATCTCCTGTAGCGTGTCTGCAGTCTCTGGTCATCTCCTGTAGCGTGTCTGCAGTCTCTGGTCATCTCCTGTAGCGTGTCTGCAGTCTCTGGTCATCTCCTGTAGCCTGTCTGCAGTCTCTGGTCATCTCCTGTAGCGTGTCTGCAGTCTCTGGTCATCTCCTGTAGCGTGTCTGCAGTCTCTGGTCATCTCCTGTAGCGTGTCTGCAGTCTCTGGTCATCTCCTGTAGCGTGTCTGCAGTCTCTGGTCATCTCCTGTAGCGTGTCTGCAGTCTCTGGTCATCTCCTGTAGCGTGTCTGCAGTCTCTGGTCATCTCCTGTAGCGTGTCTGCAGTCTCTGGTCATCTCCTGTAGCGTGTCTGCAGTCTCTGGTCATCTCCTGTAGCGTGTCTGCAGTCTTTGGTCATCTCCTGTAGCGTGTCTGCAGTCTCTGGTCATCTCCTGTAGCGTGTCTGCAGTCTCTGGTCATCTCCTGTAGCGTGTCTGCAGTCTCTGGTCATCTCCTGTAGCGTGTCTGCAGTCTCTGGTCATCTCCTGTAGCGTGTCTGCAGTCTCTGGTCATCTCCTGTAGCGTGTCTGCAGTCTCTGGTCATCTCCTGTAGCGTGTCTGCAGTCTCTGGTCATCTCCTGTAGCGTGTCTGCAGTCTCTGGTCATCTCCTGTAGCGTGTCTGCAGTCTCTGGTCATCTCCTGTAGCGTGTCTGCAGTCTCTGGTCATCTCCTGTAGCGTGTCTGCAGTCTCTGGTCATCTCCTGTAGCGTGTCTGCAGTCTCTGGTCATCTCCTGTAGCGTGTCTGCAGTCTCTGGTCATCTCCTGTAGCGTGTCTGCAGTCTCTGGTCATCTCCTGTAGCGTGTCTGCAGTCTCTGGTCATCTCCTGTAGCGTGTCTGCAGTCTCTGGTCATCTCCTGTAGCGTGTCTGCAGTCTCTGGTCATCTCCTGTAGCGTGTCTGCAGTCTCTGGTCATCTCCTGTAGCGTGTCTGCAGTCTCTGG